ATATATGTATGTATGTATGTATGTATGTATGTATGTATGTATGTATGTATGTATGTATGTATGTATGCATGCATGCATGCATGCATAATATATATTATATATATACATACATACATATATACATACATACATACATACATACATACATACATACATACAACAAATATGTATATATTTGACAATCAGCAGATTTGAAATTTTAATTGCACACCGTAGGCAGAATCTCCAATTTCAGTTGAATCAGAAATGTTTCTACCAATCCATCAAAAAGATCAGCTTCTAATTACAAAGGTGATTTTGAAAAACTGGAAGGGAAAGGCAGGTTATAGATACTATGAGATAAATGATGTATATTTAGGTGAATATTCCCCTTTCCTAGAGGTACTATCATCTAGCCTCTAATTAGCCCATTTCTTTCATGGCAATTTATTGATATATGTCATTAAGTGTTAAGGACTAACAGTTCTGGTCTTGTTTTAATTTTTTTTTCTTTTTGTCTCATTGAACAGAATAGAATAACAGAGTTGGGAGGGACCTCAGGGGTCTTCTAATCCAATCTCCTGATCAAGTAGGAAAACCTATACTACTCCAGACATATGGCTGTTCAATCTCTTCTTAAAAGCCTCCAGTGAGGGAGCTCACATACAATTTCTGGAAGCAAGCTGTTCTATTGATTAATTGTTAATTTCTACCTTGATAACTTTCCAATTGTTACTTCTTGTCCTGTTCTCAGTTGCTTTGGATAATATGTTGACACTCCCCCCCCCCCCCCAGTTCCTCAAAAATTGGAAAACTGCTAGCATACAACCCTTAGTCCTTTACTTTGTTAGACATACTCATTCTTTAAACCATTCACTGTGGTTTTCATCTGAATGTTACTGTTCTTTAAGCCATTCTGTAAGTTTTTCAAGCTAAAGAGCAGTGCATAAATAATAAAGAAGGCTACAATGGCTGATTATGAGATTCACTGCACATTTTAAAAATAGAACCTTTCAACAAGGAGACAATTTACCTATTGTACAAGAGCCCTCTTAAATCTTTTTAGTTCTCTAGTTCAGAGAACTGGTAAATACCACCTCTGACTGGCTCCGGCCCATCTATTCTCTGCCTCCCAAGTCTTAGCTGATCAGGAGGAAATGGGAATTTTGCAGTAACCTTCCCCTGGAGTGGGGTGGGAATGGAGATTTTAAAGTATCCTTCCCATGCCATGTCCACCAAGCCATGCCCAGAGAACTGGTAGTAATTTTTTTTTAAATCCACCACTGGTTCATTTGCATCTTTGACAAGGATGGAGATGTTACTCGTAGGATTAGTAGTCACTTGCGGCTGGGGTAGTTGAGTTGGGATAGGATTTCGGGATATTAGTGCTTTGCTTTTTTGTCTTTTACAAAGGTTTTACAAAAGTTGTAAAAGTGCACCTAAGATCATGGCATCTGGCCCTCTCAATTCCTGGCAAATAGATGGGGAAGAACCAGAACCAGGTAGTGACAGATTTAATTTTTCTGGCCTCCAAGATCACTGCAGATGTGGACTACAGCCAAGAAATTAAAATAAGCTTTCTCCTGGGGAGGAAAGCTATGACAAAGTTAGACAGCATATATTAAAAAGCAGAGACATCACCCCGCCAACAAATGTGTGTATAGTCAGAGCTGTGGTTTTCCCAGTTGCAATGCATGGTTGTGAAAGTTGGACTGTAAGGAAAGTCTTTGAACTATGGTGTTGGAGAAGACTCTGCAAGTCCCTTGGACTGCAAGGCGATCAAACCGGTCAGTCCTAGAGGAGATCAACCCTGATTGCTCTTTAGAAGGCCAGATCCTGAACATGAAACTCA